GTGTGTTGGATAATCTAGGAAGTTGGGATGATATCCTTCCATTAATAGAGTTCACGTACAATAACAACTATCATGTCAGTATCGGAATGACACCATATGAGGCTCTTTATGGGAGGAGGTGCCAAACACCTTTATGTTGGTATCAGGATGAGGAGAAAGTGTTGATCGGACCTAAGCTACTCCAGCAGACTACAGAGAAGGTCTGGGAGGTACAACAGAAGCTGAGAGCCGCTATGAGTAAACAAAAATCATATGCGAACCAGAGGAGGAGGCTTTTGGAATTTGAGGAGGGAGACCATATATTTTTGAGAATCAGACCTACTACTAGAGTAGGAAGGGCAATTAAGTGTAAGAAGTTGACTCCCAAGTTTATTGGCCCATATCAGATTTTGAAGAAGGTAGATCCAGTGGCATATCAGTTAGCGTTGTCACCTCATTTGGCAAATCTGCACAATGTATTTCATGTATCTCAGTTGAGGAAATATGTGCATGACCCCAGTCATGTCCTAGAGTCAGACGATGTGCAAATTAGAGACGATTTCTCCGTTGATGTGAGACCAGTGAGGATAGAGGATTCTCAGCTAAAACAACTTAGAGGTAGAACCATCTCAATGGTGAAGGTAGTATGGGATTAGAAATCCGAAGACTTCACTTGGGAGATAGAGGATCAGATGCGAGAGTCCTATCCATATCTATTTCCAAGTAAGTTCATTTTCGAGGACAAAAATTTTTAGTGGAGGGGAGATTGTGACGTATGATTTTTTTATATATTATAATAATATTACTGTGCAAGAAAACTTCGTAACGAAATTTTTCTCATGCACAGTAAAATTCTTCTTTTATATATGCGCATACAGAAAGGGGGGAGGATGCATCAGCAAGTAGTTCTCCCTCTCATCCTTCTTCTTCTTTTGTCTAAATTTCAAGCAACGAGACTCTACTCATGCAAGATCTGGTGAAACAGGAGAGAGCTTGAATTAAATGGAAAAACTTCGGTAGAAATACTACACCACCAGGTAAGGGGAAGTTTAATTCATTCAATATATGAAATTGAATTGATAGGTACTTTGTGAATAAGGAATAGGAGTAGAGATATGAATTATTTGAATGTCCGATTTTGAAGAATTTCTTATTCGATGAACTGTCACTGTTTGAAAGTTTTTGAAATTTTTAAAATTAAGGACGAATTATATGGTAAAATTGTTGTTTTCAACTTAAATTAGATATAATTCATGTTTAATTTGAATTTGGGACTAGTTTGGTTGTCTAAAACTGAGTAATTTGAAATCTGCTAAAATCTGCAAAATTTGATATTGTTACTGGCGTGAGGAAGAAGAAAGGGACATGAAAGGAATTTTCGAAAATGTTCAAGGGTAAATAGTCATTTTCGGGACATGGAAGGAATTTTCAAAAATGTTCAAGGGTAAAATAATCATTTTCGGGACATGGAAGGAATTTTTGAAAATGTTCAAGGGTAAAATAGTCATTTTCGGGACATGGAAGGAATTTTCAAAAATATCTGAGGGTAAAATAGTCATTTAGGGACATACATGGAATTTTCGAGAAAAGATTAAGGGCAAAATAGTAATTTAATGATTTCGAAAAAGATTTCGGAAAGGATTTTGGAAATGATTTCAAAAAAGAAAGAATATATATATATATATATATATATATATATATATATATATGTATATATATAATATAGAATGAAGGTAGTAGTTTTAAAGATTCAGTAGTGTGTTGTGACGTGTGTGGGTCAGATTGAGTCTAAGGACTGATGTCCATAATCAGTCATGAGATGTTATGTATTGGCTAGACTGAGCCGGAGGATTGGTGCCCATAATCAGTCAAGTACTATTATTTATTGACTTGAATGAGCCGTGAGGACAACTGGTTCAGAATCGGGCAAATGTGAATGATTTTTGTTGTGTGTGAATGGTACTCGGGGTGGTACAGAGTACATTAATGTAATAATTATGTCGGAGGATTCTGAATGAGGTCCTAGACTTCAGTGATTGATCGGGTCAGGTAGACTACGAGATCAGGTGGTGAGAAGTCGATGGGGGATGGCTGGTGGCACACTCGGAGGGGTACTCCAGTATGAGTGATGAAGGGCGTCAGTAATCCTACTCTGTGTGGAGGGTGGTCAGAATGGTACTGCGGGTGCCGATCACAATGTGCCCACAGATGATAGCCTCTGAGTTCGGGCATAATTGGGGTATACTTCCAGAAGGTGTCTTAGTGTGTTGATGATTTTGTAATTAATCATAATATATAATTATGACTTCTATATCTGTTTTATTATATCGAATTATTTAATATTTACCCCTATTTTTCCATGTGGATGAGACTGCGATGATCACTTTTATGTAGGAGCATATCAGGAGTTGAGAGGTGGAGATGCGACTACTGGACAACAAGGATAGTTCAGTGGGGTAGCTTGGTGGGAGCTACTTTTGCATGTATCTGTATAAATAAATTATGTTACTATATTTTGAGGTTCCACCAATGAACCAAAATTTCAGTCTATATTACAATTACAGTAATATAATATAATATATATATTGTTATTTACTTGTTTACTATTTTAGGATCGTTACAAAATGTCTTATCGATTTATTTAAAAGAATAATAATTTGCATACCAAATATGTAATGCTCTAAAACTGAAATTATCTCTTTTTTTAGTTAAAATTATAAAAGATTATTTTTCTTGTAAATTTAATTTCAGTGGGACAAAGAGATACAGGGATTCACATGACTCGTGATGACATTAATTGACATGTGAAAAGAGTGGTCATTAAGTATATCTTTAAAATAATTGATGTATTCGTATTATATTTTAACATTCTTGGATATCCTTATATTAATATTCAGTTAAATTAATTTATAAACTCTTATAATTTTATAACTATTTTCTCAAAAAGAACATGTCAGATTTCTATTACTATTTTTTAATATTTTCTGAGTGTATTACTCTATAAAAACTTTTGAAATATATTTTTTTATAAATTAAAATAAAATTATGTATGAATTAATTTGCAAAAACTTTATTCTTATATATATATATATATATATATATATATAAATTAATTAAATGAATGAAAAATTAAAAAAAAAATATTTTTTAATATTAAATGATCATATATTTCATTTTCAAAATATTTGGATTGTAAGAACTAAAAACAACCTTATGGTAGAGTACGTCAAAAGTTTCACTCGGTGAAAAAATGACATGGTTCATAAATCAAGGTTGATCCTACTAAATTATTTTATTAAAATAATTTATTGTTGGTTTTATTTTAAGTTTATATTCGATTTGTGGGATAGTTTTTATTTAAATCATGTTTGAGATATTATTATATGGTTTTTAATTATTATATAAGGTTGATCCTCGATTATAACGTTGTTAATTATTATATTGACAATAGTATATATGGTTCATCGTATAAGTTATTATTTATTTTGTAAAGACTAATATTAAAAAAATAAAAAATTTCAATAAATAGTAAATCCTCTTATATGAAATTTAAACAAACATATATACAGTGCATGTATAACTGTTCATATCAACACAAAAAATAATTATTTTATAGAAAATAATAAAATAATAAAAAAAGCTTTGATTATAATCATTAAACACTTGTATCTCTTTGAACTATTAACTGTTGTATAATTACTTAAATATGTTAATTTTTTAATAAAATTATAACACCTAAAGTAATTAAAAAATAATTTGTCAGATATAATTGTTTCAATTTTACTTTTAATTTTATTTAAATAGAATTATTCAGTCTATATAGATGTTTAAGTTAATTTAATTTCAAATTTAAATTATATAAGAAAAATAAAAAATAATTTGATTGAATTAAATAAAAATAAAATTTAAATTCAATTCATTGTTTCAAATCTGGATTAGATATGGACCGAATTCTATACGCACACCTAATTTGTGATGGTAAAGTCGTGGACCTCGTTTAAATCCACCTAAGTACATGATTTTATTTTTCCGCCACCAAAATCAACCAAAAAATGTGGCACACGACATCGCTATTTCTCAAACGATAAATATATACTAAATGTTTAAAAAAAGATGTGATTAACGACAGAACCAGAATTGCTAAATCAGCATTTATTTTTCATCATTTGAACAATCTTAATTAACTTTTAGACACCCTTTTAAAAAAAAAAACATTAATTACTAGAGATACTTTAAAAACTTCTATTATTACCTTGTTATTTTACAATAGCATTAACAAAGAAAAACGTTTTACATCACATAAAGTATATCTTTTAACATAATAATTTAACTTCTTTTTTTTTTTTTACTTTTTCTATTGTTATTCTTTCTAGGTAAGAAAGTTAGAGATATTACAATATAATAAAAAAACATTTCTTGAAATATAGAAAAAGGAAAAGGAAAATAAGAGGCGTCTTCTCCATATCGTTTTTTTTTTTTGGTAAAATTGAACGTGTTAAAGATATAATGATAGAGATATTCTACAAAAGAGAAAAAAATGAGAGAAGAGTTGAATTATAATAAAGAAAAAAAGGAAAAGAAAAACATAATGGAAGAAACGAAGAAAAAGGAAATGAAAATTGGAGATTTGAAAACGAAATAACCTAATAATAAATCATTAAACGATGAATATATAAAAGACTTGTTATCATAATATCACAACGATGATTACAAAGTAACACTATTAAAAAATTAAACATATACAATAATGATTATAATTTATTTTATTAAAAAAAGTTATATTTTAGATGTATAATATCAATTCATATATAATATATAATAACGACTATAAATAAATTATTATTAAAAATTTAAACTAATTTTAAAATTATCATTTCATCTCTTTTAATTAACAGTTTATACATAATTATTATTAAAAATATTAATTTATTTATTTTATATTAAGGACGGTGTGATTTAATTGGATTGGATTGAACGTAGAGAAGAGAATATATAAATAAGAAGCATAGCGAGAAAGAAACATGAATTCTGCCATGAGTTCTCCTATGACATTAGCAACTGTGCCACCCATCAAGATGGGGCTACAATTTGGAGGAAAGTGGTGCAATGCCATGAAGAAAACTAAACGAAGGTTTTCATTGTTGGTGAGTGGAAGTTCTGATTGTAGTGGTGTGGGTGTGATGAATGGAATGAAAGCTGTTGCATTGATTAATGGTACTGCAGAGAAGTTGGGAATTAAAAGCATAGAAGATACAGCGCTTGTTACCTTCCTTCGTGGAAGGTTTGTGGAGGAGAGGTTTGTATATAGGCAAAATTTCACAGTGAGGTCTTACGAAATTGGACCAGATAAAACCATTTCCATGGAGACCCTCGTCAACTTTCTCCAGGTTACCTTTTTTAAATTTTCCATCCTTATATTTATTGAGGTTTTTCTTTCAATTACATAATTTAATCTAATAATGTGATTGAGTTGAGTGAGATGTTTTGTATATTTAACTTTAATCAAATAAAATTTGTTTTAAATAATAATAATATCTGTTATTCATAGATAGATGATGTAGTCTGTTTACTATTCTAAAAAGTCTAAAAAAAATGTTTTGAGATTATTAATATTTTTTAAATATATAACCTAATTAACTTAAGCCTTAATTAATGAGAATTTAGATTGGATTAAGTAGACTTGATATAATTAAATTCAATTTTTTTTATTAGATTGAGTGGTAAATTTATTCTTATCTAATCCATGTATATTTCTATTGGATATATTACTGAGAAGTGGAATGACAATATTAAAAGAATATATAATTAAAACACTTTAAAATGTTACAATGAAAATATTTTAAAATTTTACTTTTATTTGAGAAACTTTTGGTTAAATAATTTTTCTTTCTTTAAAATATATAATTTTTTAAGTTAATAAAAACAAAATATTTAAAAATAACTCTTATCTTTCATATTCATTTATTATTTTAAATAAATTATTATATATTATCGTTATAATATAATCTAATTTATATATATATATATAATTAAATTATATTTCATTTGTATATATATTAATTAAATTATATTTTACCAAAATCTAAAATATTGAATTATGTTTTGATAATAACAGAATTTATTTACAATAAAAAATTATTATGAAAAATTAAATTATGTTTAAATAATTTATTTTAATTTTTTAAAATGTTAGGATTAAATTGAAACTATCATACATTTTAAAAAGTTAAATTAATATTTTTATCTGAAATTATTTAATGGTTAAATTAAGTTTTAATTTGAAAATTTAAATACATTATCTCAAGAATTTAATTTAAATTGTGTAATTGATATTAATCATTTTCATTCTCATATATAATAAAAAAATATTTTCGTATGATACGCCTTTTACTCATAAAAAGGAATTAAGTTGCTATGAAATAGTTACTCTTCATTTATTTAGTTAAATTTTTTAGATAATTTTTAATTCTCAAATTTAAAAAATATTCTTTTTAATTTCTGAATTTAAAAAATATTATTTTTAATTTCTGAATTTAAAAAAAATATTTTTTTATTCTCGTGCAGATAATAATATTACTCATTACTATTACTATAATGTATTTCTAGATGAAAATTATAATTAATTTATTTTAATTATCAGTTTAATAAAAATATATATAATAAAGACTAGTAAAAAACACGTTTTATGGGGTTGTGTGTTCATATTTTTTATTATTATTTTTATAAAATAGTGTTTTCATTTATAGTTTAAGATGATATATTTAAGATGAAAAAGAAAAAGAAAGAAAACTTATAACTGACAATATTTTAAAAAGTGAGAAGTGACACAAAGCATATAATTAAGGATGCTTCAAGAGAAAAGAGAAATGAAATTTTTTTATTAATTAATTTATTAATTATATTAAAGAAAATAAAAAACTCATAATTATAAAAATAAAAGATAAAAAATTAGAATAAATAAAATATTACCATATTATACTCTTTGTTTCAATTATTGATATTATTATTATTATTACCTCATCTTTCTCATTATAATCGATAATCGAGGTGAGTTTGTATTGATTGCCTCAGGAAACTGCCCTGAATCATGTCATTAGCTGTGGCTTAAGTCGGAACGGTTTTGGATCTACTCACGAAATGGATCTTCGCAAACTCATTTGGGTCGTTACTCGTATTCAGGTTCAAGTACAGAGATATAGCAAATGGTAAATCTCTAATATGATTTACATTTTTAAGGAATAAATACATTCATGTTTTGCTTAAAGACAAAGATCATAAATTCGACAGGGGAGATGAAATTGAGGTTGAAACTTGGTTTGATGCTGGCGGAAAGAATGGGACAATAAGAGATTGGACAGTCAGGGATCATTATACCAAAGAAATCATAGCTAAAGCAACCAGGTCCAATTTTTCATCCTCTCTGACACAGTCTAGAACTTCTACTCATAAAAGTGTGGTACTCACCTTTTTTCAATTCAGTTTTCACAATGTGCCTGCCCTTTCTTAAATTTCTTGATGCAGCAAATGGGTGTTCATTAATAGAGAAACAAGAAGATTATCCAAGATGCCTGAGGAAGTTAGACAAGAACTTGCTCCTTTCAACTTTAAGAGGTTTGCCATTGCCAGGGAAGAAATAGATCATCAGAGGATACATAAGCTCACGGACGCCACTGCTGAGGGTTTTCGATTTGAAGTGACTGTAAGTTTCACACAAAAATTACACCCCGTTCATTTCCCTTAATTAACACTTCACACGATTCCCTTCATCCTTAAGGTCTATGAAAAGATAATAATAACAGAAAAAAATTATAATACCTTTCAAATTTAAGAAAAAATCAATAATAATATTTTTTTCATAAACAATAGAACTTAACTATTATGCAGTATATTAGAAAAAAGAAGAAAGAAGATATTTGAGTTGATTTACAAGATAGACCGTGTGCTTTTTTTTATAATTGAAAAAATAAGTATCAACGTATAATTTCCTTATGCAAGACTTATCTTCTCATAATTTTACGATCTCCAACTTAAATATTTTGATTACTTCTATAGGATCGTCTTCATGTTAATTTGTCAATGCTATAATATCTAGGTTCTTCTTTATTTATTCTGAAATACAAGATAAAATTTCTTGCAATATGTAAGACATTCTAACTATTATAATATACAACAATTTGTTGCTGATTGTGTCCGAGTTTCTCTATTATTCTATTAATCCAAATAGCTTCTTTAGGTTGTCATGTACTCGACTTCTGTCGTAGACAAAACTAGAACATCTTATAACTTGGATAACCAATTATTGTCTTTCCAACAAAGATAAACTCATCAAGATCACCTACAAAACCTGAATAAATATAGCATCTAACAATTAGTTTTTATTCTCCGAAACATAATACAATATCCAATATTCCTTTGATAAGAATTCTCTTAATAATACTCATGCTCTCCACCACAATTTGTTATTAATCTACTAACCACTCCCACTGTTTACACAATTGAGGTGTTTTCAAAATGAGGTGAAAATTCTCGTTTTGAACTTAAATTTATGCTAAAAAACCACTCAATTCGGACGAGTAGAACTCAAGTTATGATCACGAGATAAATCTGGGTTGAATTTAAGTTTTTTGGATTCTGGTGAAGAAGGAACAAGAGGGAAATATGAAAAGGTGGAATGAAAGAATAATATTTTTCAAGAGAGACAACTCACAAAAGATGTGAAAGTCTTTTGATATAGTCAAAGGTTATTGAATCACTCAAGAACATAGGAGAATCACTTTCAATAAGATAAAATAATTAAACTCTAATATTTATGAATAAAACTCTATTTGTTTTCTTGATAAAAATGGTTAACCTTATATAGAAGCTTTGCTATCAGAATCACAAAAGATTCAATAAAGAAAAACAAATGCTACTAATGATTCATTAACCTAAGAAATGAAAACTACTTAATGGTTGATTAATTAAAATTATGGTCTTGCACTTATGCCTAAGTTTTGAATTGTGTCCTTATTACAATTTGAAATAAAACCAAACTAAAACCCATTAACTAAAAACATAATTTTGTCAACCAATTTTACAAAGGATTGAATCATTATTTAAACAAACTAATCACTTAAAAATTGAAGAAAAGTGACGTGTTAGTCCTCCTCCATTTGGATCATGATGCAGTTCACAACTTTGGTATTTTCTCCTTAAAAATTGGACTTGTATTCAAATAATATGGACAATACTTGAAGAACTTCTTCCTTTGTTTTCCTTGCTCTAGCCCTTGTCATAAATCTTCTAAGTCTTTCAAGTGAATTCTTCCTTACTCATGGTCATATCCCCATCATTGACTAATACTTGAGGATAACTGGATGGAAACTGGGTAGAGACTAGCTTATACCCTTGCATGTTGAAACACTGCAAGACCTTCAGTAAATAATTTTTATGAAAAAGTCAAACTTTCATATCTTTTCTGTCTCGGTGAATTTGCATCCACAAAATCTTGTTTGTTGGTCCTTAGTTCTTCATATCAGACTTCCTAACCAACTGTGCCTTCAAAATCTAGATTTAAACTTTATTAGAGAGAAATAATTGAGGATAACTGGATGGAAACTGGGTAGAGACTAGCTTACACCCTTGCATGTTGAAGCACTGCAAGACCTTTAGTAAATAATTTTTATGAAAAAGTCAAACTTTCATATCTTTTCTCTCTCGGTGAATTTGCATCCACAAAATCTTGTTTGTTGGTCCTTAGTTCTTCATATCAGACTTCCTAACCAACTGTGCCTTCAAAATCTAGATTTGAACTTTATTAGAGAGAAATAATTGAGGATAACTGGATGGAAACTGGGTAGAGACTAGCTTACACCCTTGCATGTTGAAGCACTGCAAGACCTTCAATAAATAATTTTTATGAAAAAGTCAAACTTTCATATCTTTTCTGTCTCGATGAATTTGCATCCACAAAATCTTGTTTGTTGGTCTTTAGTTCTTCATATAAGACTTCCTAACCAACTGTGCCTTCAAAATCTAGATTTGAACTTTATTAGAGAGAAATAATTGAGGATAACTCGGATGGAAACTCGGGTAGAGACTAGCTTACACCCTTGCATGTTGAAGCACCGCAAGACCTTCGATAAATAATTTTTATGAAAAAGTCAAACTTTCATATCTTTTCTGTCTCGATGAATTTGCATCCACAAAATCTTGTTTGTTGGTCTTTAGTTCTTCATATAAGACTTCCTAACCAAATGTGACTTCAAAATCTAGATTTGAACTTTATTAGAGAGAAATAATTGGTTATCTAAGTTATAGAATATTGTAATTCTGTTTATTACAAAAATTGAGTACATGACAACCATCTAAACATATAAGGATATATTATTGTGTATTGTGATAATCAGAGTATCTTACAAATTATAAGAAATCCTACTTTATATTTCAGGACAAAACAAGAAAAATCTAAATGTTATTACAGTGACAAATTTATATGAAAATGATTCTACTAAAGATATATCTTCAAGTGATAAATTGTAAAAATATGAAAAAAAAAAGTTAAAAATTAAAAAAATTATATATTAATGCTTTTTTTCCCTATTATAAAAAAAAAACACCCGACTTAAATTGTAATTCAGCCAGAAACTCTTTATCCTCTTTACTCATAATCGAGAAATGATCGTTTACATAGTTTTATTAACTGGTTTTTTATCTGCACGTAATCCAGCCAGGGTGGAACGACATGGATGTTAACCAGCATGTTAACCACTCAAAATACAGCCGATGGATCTTAGAGGTATGTAACAGAGACAAAAAAGACAGAAAGAGAAAAAAAAATAGAAAGAAAAAAACTTGCAATCTATGACGAAATAAATATGTTTGATAATTTATGAAGGAAGTCTAAAAGGAGTCACGCAATGTTTTATATAATTTGGTGATGACTCGGTTACTTGATAAGAACAATGTAATTAAGTTTGATTTGTTTATGCAGAGCGTGCCAAGAGAAATATTAGAAGAATACAAATTGACAAGCATGACTTTAGACTTTCTACGTGAATGTAGGAAATCAGATATACTGGAATCGATGACAAGTCCATCATCCAAAGTGATTGGTGCCTCAAATAATAACATTGTTAGCAGAAAATCGGACCTGCAATATATACACTTGCTTCGTCTTCAGGAAAATAAAACGGAGTTGGTTCGTGCCAGAACCGAGTGGCATCTTAAGCAAAACCACAACTGATATACACGCACACACGCGCACTCAATATATATATATATATATATATATATATATCATGGTATGGTTTTATCTACATTGGTACTGTTCATTGTGACTATATTTGTAATTGCAGGAAAATTAATATGCTGCACGATTATAAATAATGTGAAGTGGATACTACAATTTAACTTTGTGCTTCAAAGAGAAAAATCTAGAAGATAATTACTTTTTACTTAAATATCATTTTATTAATTTTGTGTTTTAGTAAATTTCTACTCTATTCGTTTTAATAAATTTGTTCATTCGCGTTTGGTCATGTTAGGTTTATGGTATTTTAGTGAAGATGCCGCGTTTTTCACCACTAATAAATTCATTAATTTTGTATTTGGTGTCTCAAAAAATATTTTAAGAGTTAATATATGATTTTTATTCCTATATTTTTCGTTACACTTGATTTTAGTCTTTATATTTAAAAAATAATTAATTAATATTTAAATTAAAAAATATATAAATTTAATCATTTTATCAATTCTATATATAATAATACAAAAATGTTTTAAATAGTAAAATATTTTCAATCATTTTATCGATCTTGTAAAGCTAAAAAGTCATCACTAAAGATTAAATTTAAACAAAGAATATAATTATAATCATATATTTTTATATCCAAAACAAAATTTAACAAAAGTATAAGAAAAAAAATATATTTAACTTACTTTTCATACCTTATTGGTCTCTAATAAAAAATTTTATTTGATTTCCATTATTATCTTAACATTGATGTAGGAATTGAGTTGATGTTTTAGGGTCTTTAAAAAACTTATGTCAATTGAATATAGAGATTTTTATTTTTTATTTTTATTTTTTATCTCGTGAGTCTCTCTTAAATTGTAATCTTTATCTTCATTTCATTTTGATATACATATCATCCAAAAAAAAAATAAGTATCTTTAGACTAAAGTATCCCAATTTATGACATTACCATTTTTTATTTCATCAATTATATTTTACAAAAGAAACACTAGTTAAGTTAAAATTTAATTGGGTTCAATTTCTAACATTTACTAACACATATTCACCAAGACGTTTATTATACATATTCACCGGGACTTTATTACCAAATTTTATGGTTTTCTTCAGGCTCTGGAATAATATCCATCCATAATTTATGACTGTGAAATTAGTTTATATTTTTTGTTTGTAAATGAAGGTGCTAAATTTAGTAAGAACATGAAATACCTAATGATAAAATATATTATTTTGATGACATAATTTTTAAAAGAAACTCAAATTTTATAAATTATAATAGTAATTTGATCCCTCGAATTTTGAGAATTTCAATTTATTTTAAGAAATAAAAATGTACAATAATTCATAGTTTTTCATTTGTTGACCTGGCTATAAGATTGGGGCATTGTTGACTCAATTCAATTTTTTATTTTTTTATCGATCTTGATGACATTAATTTGAGATCACCGACATTTTAGATAGATGTCAAGTACAATTTTTTAAAATAACTTCAACTATGATTTTTGTCTGTTGATGTTGTATTTTTAACTAAAATCAATGATAAGTTAAAGTTATTATTTAATGATATTTGAAATACTTTATAAAAAAAAGCATCTAATAAATTTATTTATTTTTATTAAAAAATGATTTTGAAAAATTAAACAATTCAGAAATTCAATATATTTGAATTTTTTAAAAATAATAAAACTTATTATTCAATCACAATATTAGTCACTCATGTCATCATCTTGCTTGCATCTTTTGGTTTGCTTTTAATTTAATTAATTGATCTTTTATGGTTAACCATAGTTTTCCTCACAAAATTGTCCCCATAATATTAGCTATCAATAAAGAATTTGATGGTATTATTCAATTTTAAATTGAAATAATAGTTGTATAAATTGTTTATCCTCTCGTTATTCTAATAAATTAAAAAGTGTGTGAGAAAAAAAATAAAAAATATTTTTATTTAAAAAAGAAGTGTTCTAAATTTTTTGAAGATGTTCATTTTAAAATAATAAATAATTAAATTAAGTTAAAGATTTATTTAATTATAAAATTATTTATATAACTATTACTTGATTATTTTATTAATAAAATATATTTTTAATTTAATATTTGTTTTGTCAATATATATAATTATAAAATATTTTTTATTAAAAAATTATATAATTTTTTAAATTAATAAAATAATATAATATTAACAAAATAAAAGTATGTTAAATTATTCATTGACTTTCATAATTATTTTTATATTTATAATATTTTATTAAAATAATAATAAATTATATATATATATATATATATATATATATATGAATTAAAATTGTTAAAAATATTATTTATATATAGTACAAAATGATATATTTATTTATTATTTTTCTTATTATCAAATAAAAGATATACTTTCTTTTTATATATTTTTCTATATTAGTTATTTTTCATTTTCTATGTTTTCTATAAATTAGAAAATGTTTTTTCTAGAAGTGCTTAATGTAGAAATTAAAAAAAAAATATATTTCTCACAAATATTATAAATATATTTGATATAATTTTTTTCTTCACTAACATGCTATTAAATTTATAATTCAGAAATAACATCATTCTATCAATATTTACCTGACTAACACCATTTTCAGATTTTTTTTCAGATAGCATGCTATTAGATTTATAATACAGAAATAACATCTTTCTATCAACATTTACCTTATTACACAATTTTTAACTTTACTAATTAATATAATTTTTAAATAAAATAATATTTATTAAATATAATAATTAAATATAAATATATATTTTTTATAGAAAATAAATACATAAATATTATATATCTTTAAATTTTTATTTATATAATTATATGAAATAAATATAAATATATTTTTTAAAATAACATAAAAATATATTTATATAATTATATTATTTAAATATTTTTATAAATATAGTAAAAACAAATATATTTAATATATATATAATGTTTAAATATTTATTTATATTTTTTAAAATATATTTTTATAGAAATATATTAATAATATAATAAAATATATTTATTAAATTTTATAAAAATATAAATAAATATTTAAACATTATATATATATATATATTAAATATATTTGGTTTTACTATATTTATAAAAATATATTAATAATATAATTATATAAATATATTTTTATGTTATTAAAAAAATATTTATATTTATTTCATATAATTATATAAATAAATTTTTTTAAATATATATAATATTTATTATTTATTTTCTATAAAAAATATATATTTATATTTAATAAATATTATTTTATTTTAAAAATTATATTAATTAGTGAAGTTGAAAATTGTGTAATAAGGTAAATAGAATGATGTTATTTCTGTATTATAAATTTAATAGCATGCTATTGAAAAAAAAATATAAAAATAGTGTTAGTCAGGTAAATATTGATAGAATAATGTTACTTCTGAATTATAAATTTAATAGCATGCTAGTGAAGAAAAAAATTTATTTGATATATCTAGAAAATCCGGTAAAAAAAAAACCGTAATTGTATTAATAATTATGAAAACTTTCTTCCTTCATCAAAATTTTGATATCTATCTTCTTTTATAAAAAAATTATACTTGACAAGTATTTGATGACTTGATTAATCTTACTGAGATATTTTTTTAAGTATTGTAATGAATAATTGAGATTTTTAAAGAATTTATTTTTATATTTATGAATATTTTGAAATTTGATCATGAATAAAATATTTTAATAATATTTTAAATAACATATTTTGATATAACGGTAATTACTATAATCTCAATTATCTCTTATAATAAAACTATTTTTTTTTTCAGTTGATATTCATTGGTAGTGGTAATAGATACAACCATATTATATATATATATATATATATATATATATATATATATATATATATATATATATATATATATATATATATATATATATATATTATTGAATTATTAGTCAGCGTACCAAAATTATCAATCGTAATATATAGTGGCGGATCTTATTGGGAGCTAAGGGGGTCGTGGTTCCCCCAAAGTTTTATAACTCCAATGTAATTTATGATTTTGTCCCTCCAAACTTAATGATATATTTATTTGTATATTTACAATTTTATCCTCTCATTTTGTAACTCTCATATAATTTATGATTTTGTCCCCCTCAAACTTAATGATCATTTAATATATTTAAGTATATATCTACAATTTTATCCTTTTACCCTTTTATCTTCTTTCTTCTTTTTACATTTATTTATTAATAATATATTATTTGGCCCTCAAGATCAATGGTCAAGATCCGCCACTGGCAGTATAATAATTCGATAAAATAAAAGTAGATCCCACGAGGAACAGTTTCAATGAAAATTCCTAATTATATGCTTACTAAGTACATTAAAACAAAATAGGTGTTGAATTGTTGGCAAGCGTACCAAAATTATCAATCGCAGTATAGTATTTCGATAAAATAAAAGTTGATCCCACGAGGAACAATTTCAATGAAAATTCCCAATTATGCTTACTAAATATATTAAACAGATTGAGTTTTTCAAATAAGAGTTGAGTTAAATTTAAATGACAAAGAATTGTAAATTGTTGAGAAAATATCAATTAAAGGTACTTAGGATTGACTTCCTTCCTTATCCCTCTTTTGTAATGACTATGTCGATTAAGAACGTCAATTAACCTAACAATGTTGATGCCACCTACTCAAATCATCCATGTTGATTCCTCACACATGAAATTCATAAGAAAACCTAATAAATGTTGATTCCTCACACAATTAACAGATTTTCCAGCATTAGGGTTAGGGTTTTTAAGCAATTGATACATTCATTCCATTCCTAGCAATTAACGTAACAAATATTCTTACCGTGATCTAGGGTTCAAGATATATTTTCCAATCATACCTCAAACAATCAAGAATAAATCATTCCAAAGCATAAAGGATAAGAATAACAACATCAAAGCATAGATTAATATCTCAAAATATCACCATGATACAAAAGAGT